ATGAGTAGGCAGGGCGAGCCCGTAGACTTCAGTAGAGACCACACAGGGTCAACATACCCGCGCTCAAGGTGTCAGTAAGATGTTGCAAATCGGCCTCAGAGGATTCGCTTTTGTATTTACGAGAGCAAATAATGCTGGAATGCCTAAGCGAGATAGAACGTGCACTACGTCGAATCCAGTCTGTCAAACTTCGCGCGTCACGATCGGGATGCTGTGAAGCGCAGCAAAGGATGGTTCCGACTGGCGGTGTCAGTAGGACGAACTGTATGTCCAGTGCCCCATGCTGAGGCTGATGTTGCATTCTTGATGCCTCTTCACCGCAGTTGGGCTAAACCAACTTACACTTAAACTAGGTCTTTTTAATCTGGATAAATTTTATTCCACTTTATTTGATTTGTTCTGCCTACCTGAATAATCTTCCATTAACTGGCCACGTTGCTTACGTAAATTGCGTTTTTCTTCAGTAACTTTGTTGCGTTTGTAGCATTTTTAAGTAACTTGTGGACATCTCTTACTTATCGCGGATTCGTTGCTAACCAACTTACTTCATATGGTAATTTAGGGAAGAGTTATGCCACCGTATCCGTATGCATTATTGGATTTATATTATTTTATCTTGTTGTTTCAATTGAATGGCTGTTGCTTGAGATCCCCGGTGTGGTTGCGCTTGAGGTGCATGTTGACAAGGTGCCTACCTGTCTATTACCCACTACCTCGTTCATACTGGCTCCAGGAGACAGTTGGTCGTTGCTAGAGGGGACGGGGTGCATGGTCCTTGTGGCCGTGCTAGGCTCAAAGAGCGGTTCCATGCACTCAGTGTGGAGCGGACTACGATCCAGCCACCGCCTTGTGTGCGCTTGATTCCCCAACTACAGCGAACTTGTGTCTGCCTGTGAAGGAGTGTGGGCCTGCGCTGTTGATGAAACGTGGCTCCCATCCACATGCTTCCAGGTCTTATTCCTTCGGGTTTACACTGGATATGGGGTGTGTGGATGGAGCTGTGGGTGGTGCACCGCAAGCCACCCATGGTCCCTCTGTGGGCGCAGGCGTCCTGTGGCTGGCCACAGTGACAGGCATATCCGAAACTGGATGCCGCCAACCATGTCCAGTGCGAAAGCTCAGCCCACTAGATTAATCGCAACAACGTAGCTGCCAGCTCGATGGCAACGCTGGAGTCGGCGCAGATCGTGTGGGCGCACCGGTTTATTCGAATTAAGTACAATTAATCATATAATCAAACCATTTTCAGAAAAGATTCCTTGGGTCGTATGGTACCAGCAGCAACTAAGACATACTAACTGGCGTTGAGGCTGCAACCTTGGAAGATATCAGCGTCATTTACAGGGATCACGTTCCAATCGGTGGCGAGATTGGATCCAATGAGTAACGTGTCAACTACGCTGGACATCACTTGTGTACGCTAGCCGTATTAAGTGAATGTTAGTTACCATACGAATGTCAATCTTTCACTAACGTTTCGGAAGTTATCTAGTGAGCTAAGAACGATGGTCTGGTAAACTAGTTGAAGAAACCGAGCTCGTATTGGATGAAGCATTTCGTAAGTAAGAAGTCTCTATTTACTACTTACAGCATAGCATTGTCGAAATGTAAGATGCGCTGTTTCTCTGGTTACTGGTGGACGTTTGGTACCCGTTGATACCAACCGCAGACATTAGGGCAGCACCTCGGTTTGGTTTGCGCGTGCCAATGTAGCTAGGTGACAGCTAGTAAATATGCAGCGTATATCTGAGAGGTCTCATGAGCGCACGCCAACGGACGTATCGAAGTGGTGTACAATGTACGCAAGGGTACTTTTGAATGGTTGGTTGGTTGGTGGCATCCGGGCTCCGTTTTCCCTATCATTGTGGCGTCCATAGGACAGCCATAGGAGGCCTGCGCCTACAGAGGGATCATGGGTGGCTTGCGCTGCACCATCCACAGCTCCATCCACGCACCCCATGTCCAGTGTAAACCAGAAGGATGTAGACCAGGAGAAATATGGATGGGAGCCACGTTTCATCAACGGAGCCGGACCACACTCTTTCGCAGGCAAACACACGCACGCTGTATTTGAGAATCAAGCGCACACAAGGTTGTGGTTGGACCGTAGTCCGCTCCACGCTGAGTGCATGGAACCACAAGGACCGTGCACCCTGTCCCCTCCAACAACGACCAACTGTCTCATGGAGCCAGTATGAACGAGGTAGTGGGTAATAGACAGGTAGGCACCTTGTTAGCATGCACATCAAGCGCAGCCACACTGGGAATGTCAAACACTAGCCACTCACTTGAAATGATATTATCAAGTAAAATAAATCTGTTAAAGAATAAGGCTATGCAGACATAAATCTTCGTTACATTTGCATATGAAGTAATTTGGTTATCAACGAATAAGCGACAGTTGCAAAATGTCCACAAGTTATTCAAAAATGCTACCAACGCAATCAACTTAACGAACATAACCACAATTAGCGTAAGCAAGGTAGCCAGTCAATAGAAGATTATTCAGATAGGCAGAAGAAAGCAAATAAAGTGGAATGAAATTTATCCAGCTTAAAAAGACCTAGATTAAGTGTAAGCTGGCTTAGCCCAACTGCCGTGAAGTAGCATCATGAATGCAACATCAGCCTCAGCATGGTACCGCCGTAACAATGCAAGCACGCTAATCCAACGCTGTCTGCATGTATTACTCTGCTGGGTCTTAACAGTACACAGACTGTAAGTGAGGTGTGAACACTTTTAATGATCACTGATGGGGATAAGGCTGTTCTGGGCTGCCGTGTCCATTCACATGCAGTGCTAGACCACGAATATTTAAATTAAAGCGAGCTGCCTCTTTTAATTTCCCAGAAAGCACCGGTGGACCAATCTACCTGTCTTTTAAGTCCTCTTGGCGTATGATAACTGGTAACCTCAAGTGCTATTTTTATTGGGTATATGCAGTGCGAGGGATAACACGGATTTACACGATAAGGCAAGCTGCTGGATCGCTGTAAACGAACGGGGCAGATGATTGGTAATATTTAGCAGCTTTGGAGTTTGTTTGACTGGAGCAAAGACAGAATCTCATGAATGCAGAAGCATCGTTAGTTATGAAAACGACGTCCACAGGCTAGTTATGCTAGCATTTTTGTTTTGGATGCTTTAACGAATAAATCGTTTGTCGTTAAAGGACACAGGTACGCGGCTCCGTTGTTAAATCGACGGGGATAATTACGAGGTGCATGGATGGGATTAGCGATTTACCCTGCAGTACAATGGAAGATCCTTGTGGATTCCAGTCGACTAGGGCTAAATAGAGTGGAATCCTGCATCGATACCAAACACGATGGCAATTTGTTCGTAGGTGATATATGAACTCACTTTCTCCCAGACAGAGTTCTTCGGTGCAACAAAATCCTAGTGACGTGCTTCGACTCTGCCATCGGTTGCCTCGGATCAGCGTTGTCATCTGTGGGTCGGAATGGATATCGGCCAAAGCTGCAGTTGGCATCAGGTCGGCGCCACCTTGGTTTGCCGGAATAAACTTCAGATACTTCCTCGGAAGAATTGTCTGAAAACCCCGTTGGTTTGCTCGGTACGTTCTCTTCTTAGAGATGCGCAACCTGTACATCTTTCAACCTGGATTCACACAAAAACAGAGGACTTGAAGCCTTTTGTTTATCTCTGATCAATAGCGGATAACTATCTTCCCCAAACGCGAGGCACGTTAGAACCTCTGACTGATCAGATGTACTGGGACCTGGCCGTTCTAGAAGTGAATGTGTTGGTATCCAAAGCTTCCATTCCTTTGATGGGAATCCTAGACTAACCTGTATTGCGCGGAAATGGGATACTTAAAGAAACATCCAGCGATCTGGTAGAATACATACACTTCCTCGGAAGGTTCCCAAAAATGGTTAAGCGCAGCCAAAACGATCACTTTTGCGCCGTAAGAAAGACTCATTTTTCATATGCGAGTTATGCACATTGCAGATAACAAGTGTACACCGTACGTAATGCATTATCCTTATAAACGGTTGGATGCATCCGCTGTGATCTCAAGTTAAAGAATGGGCTAATTGTAGGGAAAGTAGGACTCCACTCGTGTAAACTGGGAGACAGCAGTCTTTGGAATTTGTAGCTATCAATCCTAGTACAAGCATTGAATCGCATCCCGAAATCAGATGAGTAGGATGGTCAAGTACAGCAGACGATACTACCCAGTTGCATACTGCAGAGTGAAAACGACTTCACAACAAGGGGCAGCTGTTAGCTCACCAACTTATTGGCTGAATAGCAAACTAACGGTTGCAAAGAAACATCGACAAACTAGATGTACTTCCGCTAGAGTACAAACCGTGTACATCATTCGAAATATCTTTCCACTGAGCTCAGTTCGCTATGCTTGTCTTTCAGAGAAGGTTATGGTACCAGAAAAGTCACTAACCACCATTATGAATTTGATAAGCCCACGACCGACATGTACTTGCAGACTGAGGTTAGTTGGGGACGAACATCTTGCGAATGCTGACCTTACTTTAATAAACGAGTTTACCAGGGCAAGGGCGAATTGAATTAGCTTGACATCAGGTCCTTCAGAAGTCATTGCTCTAGTCAACTTAGCATTGGTCTATCGACGCCCTATTCAATGTTTATAATCTCATCATCCTAGAGTAGTCAGGGCAAGAGTCAAGGGCTACAGGAATTCCTAGGATTCTGTTTGAGCGAATTCTTACAACAATAAAGAACTGTGTGATTTTCTCCAACAAACCTCACTCCTAGACGCATTTTTGCCGTAGCTCAGTTCTGCTCCACCCCTAGAATAAAAGCATGAAAGCACCTTCAGGGTGCCTGATCAAATGTCGCAATTTTTGATGCTGCCATTCAAGTTTTCGCAAGCATTGCACCAATCGTTATGTGGTATTTTTGTACAATTGTTTCCTGCTAGCATCTCGCCTATGCATCTATTTGCTAACCACGGTATTGACAAAATATATCCTTCCGGATGTTTTTCACAGAAAAAGATACTCAAAACAAAACTCAGAGCGAATTTGATGGACCAGATGGAGCGATACTACATGCTAGTCTGCTTTAACGCATACTTACGAGATCAGGTAAGTCACACGCTGGCTATGCTTCGTATACCCTGAATCATAGACTGCAAAGCGGTTCAGCCTCAGTTTCACCGAATGGATGAGAAAACACCCGAAATTGTACCAGGTGTTGGTGTATTTGGATGTGACAGAATGGTTCACCACAGTCGACTTGATCAAGCAAGGAAACCGAATTTTGGTAAGTTGAAGTTGAGGCAATGGAAGTTTTGGCCATTGATGTCCACATATGAGGTTCAGATGAAGAAAACAAACAGGATTATGACAAGTTTAAGCTCTCTTTTTGCATATTCATGACGGACTTCCCGGTAAAAATCGAATAACCTCATGGCCATGTGTTTACCACTACCACAGATATTGATCATCTTTCCTCTAATCCTCGAAATCTCAATTCGAGCAACTTCCATATTTGTTGCCGTGTTGTTGAAAAACAGTAACAGCTTGTTGCATACGAAGTTGCGCACCAGTCTAAGTGATCCGAACAAATCCGAGAACAGTGGCGAGCAATAATTTTGTCAAGTGACCATAAAGTCAAAGCTGAAAGCGGAACGCCGCTTTTTAGTTAACTCGGTCTTTTTTATTCTGGCCTAGATATAACCATTGTATAATTGGAGGTGAGGATTGCGTAGGAAGAACCACAGTTTAAGTATTTCTCGGGTCAAGTGCCAGGGCTTTGAGTAGGAAGTCAGGTGATCAGATCGACTTATTAAACCAATTCAACGAACATTCTTCGGGTTGATGTACCAGAATCCCACAACCTACTCACGACCAATATGTGAACCATACAGGCCCGGAGTATTATCTCGCTGTCACAGAGTTATGTGTGGGGCGGATAGATGGGTTCGGGTTTAAAAGGACACCTTTATTATATGTCTGTTGATCGGAAAGGAGTCCGGATAAATGTTTGTGACTGTGTGAAGTGATGGGTCAAAACAAGTGATGTTCTAGTAACTTAGTTATTTCAATTAACGTAACAGCGCTTAAATTTTCGTGTAGATTCGTCGCAGTTAGACACAGGCAGTTAGCCACCACACATCCAGGAAAGCGCTTTCCTGGATGTGTGGTGGCTGTCTGCTTGTGTTTAACTGCGACGAATCTACACAAAACCTAGTAACTCCCCCCCTACTACTTACGCAGAAATTTTCCACTAACACTGTGGTCCGAGAAAGCGTCAGTTTCTGAGGTGATCATCCGTACTGTAATTGCCTGATCGTGACGCATGTTGCAGGATCACCTAAAACACTTGCAGCTTATGGAGAGCACAACGCGGTGCAGACGAGCTGTTTGTTAGGGAAACCACGTTCATTTGCACACTTTCTTCATAGTGCCGTTCTGACTCTCCTTTCCGCTGCGTATATTCATACACAACGTATCGGCCTTGGTTGCTTTATACGCTATGCCTCATTGGTCCCCAGAGATTCATAATTGCTTTCATCTCCGCACACCTGCCCGTTTTTACACGTACTACTAATTAATATCAACCAAGTGCGCGCAAATTTCAGCCTTTGAAACGCTGTGCTTGTCATTCCATTTCTTAACCAACGGCCACGCCATCAACTCTGATGACCTTTTCTAAGTTGTAGAATGGTAGCCAGCCACAGGGTGTTGGCCACACAAGGCTAATGCGTTGCGGTGTATAGATTTCACAGACAGAGCATATCGTTATAACCAGGACACAAGCGTGTCAAGTGATTGTGAGACACGATGTACGCAAACAATAGTATATATTGTTTACTTACAGTACAAAGAAAGGTGTGTATTTTGCGGGACACTGCCACTGAAATAGGCCTTACCACAATCGATATTGAGGCTACCTAGCTGAACAAGTACCAGAAGGTGTGGCCAAGGATTTCGAAGGTAGTGATTCAATCCAGACAGACGCTAACAACGGTAATGAAACACTGGCATGCACATCGTATCAGACTAGTTTCTGAGCTTCAGCTCAAGGTGGCGTCCACTAAGAAAGCGTACGACAGCAGGAATTCAATAGCACCGCGCCCATACAGCGGTTCGGATAACGTTATTCAGGTGGTCAGCGAAGCTGTGGGCCACCTATTACATACGAAGAGAGAGCCTATGAACAAATCGCGGATTCGCCAGATCTGCCACAGATTCATTCGTTGCTCCTCTAGTAATTCACCGCTGAGAGCAGATAAACATTCCTATATGTACATTAGTGCACAAGGCCTCCTTCGGGTACGTCAGGCGTCACATACTCGAAATCACATTTTTGTAAGGGGAGCGAGGTTGCACTCGGAAATTACCGGCTCCGAAGTCCCGATACTGGTTATATCCCCTGTCCGAAACGATCGCTCTAAAATAAAGCAGGTAGGGTATTTCTATGCTGGAAGTGGTCACCTACTCACTCTGGCGCGGTCGGCAGTTAAATCGCAACAATGTACCCACTGCAGCAGCTGTTTATCGTTCCTAATTATCCACCGCGATGGAATTTCGCATGATATTTGGAGTGAGAAAAATCCTGGTGTGACACCCAGGCGAAATCAGAACAGCCGTACGGTAGTAGGAAAACCTCAGTAGCAAGCGTGGAGCGGTACGTTCTAATCGGCACATGGGGGCACGTAACGAGCTGATTGCCACGAGAGTCCAATGCACGTGAGAACAAGTTCCAGTTCGAAGCGAATCAATGGCGGACACTGATTGGTTGCCACCCAAACACGTACGCACACAGGTACACGCGCTCCTACGCAGCTGTCTTTCCGGCTGGATAGCAGTGGATAGACTTGACACTACTAATGGTTGTATCACTTGGGCCTGGCTTGCAGCCATGTTATCATCTCAGAAGACTTCAGTGTGCAGAATCTGGAAATTCTGACGTCCTCGAGCGTGCATATCAAAGTCTACATGCAAAAGATAATTGCCATCACTCAACTGTACAGCCATGTCAGACCTACCACCACATTCGCAGCGATAAACAAAACATCAGTACTTCAGTTAGTGTTCGCGAACAAAGAGCTCATGATCGATAAACCAAACATAGCTACTACAGTTGGACGAGTGAATAGATCACCGCGTTTTGCGACTGTTTTTAATGCGGAGTGCACACATGAAAATGCTGAATGGTTTCGTACGATCACAACTTATAGTCACAAAACTGGTCTGAGATGTCAACCGGGAGTTTTCGGATGACTCATTGATTATTGGCTGGGTTAAGTTTGTCGATAACTTTAGTTATCTGATCACATCCGCATCAGAAAACAGGCCTGTTCGTTCTTCAACGACTCCGTCGTGCATTCGGAACAGAACCCGAAAGTGCATGGCAGTAAGAGACGCAGCGTGGCAGGTGTACAGAGCATATCCTGATCTTGACAACTGAAGCAACTATGTAGTGCATCGTAATCATTGCAGCGCACTTGTCCGCGGTAACGTTTTGTGCGAACAACAAGCTTCTGTACAACAATGTGAACACCCCCGAAAAGTGAAGTATGGTGTTCCCCCACTCATCTCAGCGAATGGATGTGCTCAAATTACAGAGGATGTATCAACACACTACGGCCACCTTATCGTTTAGTATTTTGACGTGCCACCTACCTTTGTCACATACCAGTGCCATTCACCCAGAGACCGAGATTAATACAATCACTTTTATTTCAGTGACTGTTTTGAGAAAATCCTATGGTTGCGTACTCATAGTTCACCCGAAAGCACTGCATGTGGCAGTTGCGAGAATATCCGAGTCATTAGCCTGACTCTTTCACAGATGCTTAGGTGAACAGAAGGTTCCTAACGTATAAAAGCAGAGTATCATTACCTCGCTTTTTAATGGTGGCGGCCATTAGGTACACGCCAACTATCGTCCAGTCGTCCTCTTTCTAGTACTCACAATGATGAAGGAGTCGATCATTGCTGAGACCGGAGCAACACGACTTTCGTTAACATCGAGCATGTACAACCAATCGACGGAATGCGCGCGACAGTTGGGCCGAAACAGTGGGACCGAAACCGATGTCATATATCTTTGCTTTTCTAAAACCTCCAAAACCTGCGAGCATACGGGATTAGAAACCCAGTCCCTGGATGGATCAGAACTTTCCCTCTTCAGCGGCGGCTTTACTTTCGGGTTTGGAACCCATTTTTGGTCCTATTGACGTGAACTGAGGTGTTACACAATGGTCAGTGTCGGGGCCGAGCCTATTCTTGGTCTTCATCAACAACATCGCGAGTGTCATCCAGTCCAATTTTCTGCTTTTCGCCCCTAACATCAAGATATGGTATGCGATTGGTAGTCCGGAAGATCACAGAATACTTCAACGTGAGCTTGCCGGTGCTTTAGAAAGATCAAAGGCAAATATCCTTACCTTCAACGCAAGCCAGTGCCAAACTCTACAAGTACGTCATAAGCCCACTTACGCATATAAGCTTGGAGACAAAATATGGAACATGACCTTCGGGTGGTGATGCAAGACAACCATGGTTGTTCGGTGTAGTCCCTGAAGACGTCTAAAACTGCAAACCAACATGGTGGTCTCTTACGATGGGCATTCGGGTGGCTCGGCCATTCCACCTTCCTCAAAATGCCCAATTCATATATGACGCTGCACGTAGTGCACGAAATCCAGGCCTGCTAATCCTGGTTAAAACGTGATCTGGTTGTTCTGGACACCCCGCAGCGAAAAGCAATCAAATGCTGAGGGGGCTCGTTCCGTCTATCATGCCAAATACACCTGAAAGTCCTTAAACTGTAGAGCAGAAGATATCGCTGTCTACGGGGTGAACTGCCTCTGATGTACCAGACCGAAAAACCTTAGTCACGTTTGCCACCAGCTGCAGAAGTTTAACTGCAACACGAAAGTGAGGAGCCTTCGCCTGAAAATGGCCACCCAACACACACGTTGGAATTCCGTCGGAAAGGTTTTCCCTCATTGTTGTGAACTGTGGAACGCTCTTCCGTGTTAATTCATTTCTACACTTAGCATATCCAGTAAAAATAGCTTCGTGACGATGCGTTACACCACTCACATTAGGCGAAATAACTTCTACTCATCATGTACTGACAAGATGCAAACGAATATTACTCTAAACATTCCCCACGAAATTGGAGCAGACGGATTTATATGCGTGTCAGCACGACGATTATGGATAGATCACAACTACGAGGCACAACTTGCTAGCCACATTTTTGAAATTTTGTGCTTCACGCAGACCAGCCTAGTAATGTTTACC